GAAGGAGGGGGAGAAGGAGAGAAGGGGGAGGAGGAGGAGGAAGGTTGGCGGATTGGCCATTTCTAGTGTGTGCTGTCAAAAGTTTGTTTACAAGAGAAATTATGGAAGAATTTCTTTGGTTAATAACATATATAGTGTCACTTGCGACTTGGATTCAGAGGATAGCATTATTAATTGTAAAAAAAACTTCTGCTAATTTATGGGAATTTTTTCGTAAGTATGGCCGCCTATGGGAAAGCATTTCCCAATGTGGTACCTTAACTGTGTTGTAAATAAATGCTATTATTTTTCAATTCATTTGCGTGTAGATCGAAAACGAAGCATCAAGCCAGATTTTTTTTCCTGCAAAATTTCGGACATTTTAGCCTTGTTATAATGAATAGCATGCGTTCTGTTTGCAAAAAACAAGTACAGCAAAAAATGGCATAAAAACTGTTGCACGTATCTGCATGGTGTCTGACCATGGACATCATGTACTGGGACGAGTGCCCATAGCTCCCCCCCCGACCCCCCGAAAAGCTACAGAAAACAACTTACCCGCCCTTCCCCCGAAAAGCATTGAACCCCCCCCGAAAAGCTATAGTTCTAGAGCTTGCCCGGCTGCAGATAGGCGCGAACTTGTTGAGACGATTATCGAGTACGCTGTGGCTACGTGCCTGGCAGCCGGGCACGGTCTTTAATTTCCTAAATGCCCGGCAATTCCTAACCCTAACCCTAACCCTAACCCTAACCCTAACCCTTGTTTACTTGAGATAATGCTGAAAATCAAAAACTGCTGGGCATTTAGGAAATCGAAGACCGTGCTCGGCAGCCGTCCGATATATGCCGGCTGACGGGCATATAGCCACTGTTCCTGTTCTACTAGGTACTTCTACAGACTGACTGGCTGGTTGCTAGAGGTGCGTGCGGCCACTGCGAACTCGTACTTCTTCCCCTGTACATGGTGGCATGCTGGAGAACTTGACAGTCTTGGATCTCTTTTGCACTGCTGGCGTACCTTGTTTTCTCACGTGAGATCGGCACCATCACAGGTAAGACTGGGCAGCGCAGTCTTTGACAGACTGGTTTCGTATCTAAGCGACCTATCTTCGATTCTGCAGCCGGTTGTATCTCAGGTTGGAACTGCCCTCGCTTTGCACCAGGTGGCGAATTATGCAATGCTTTTGTGAAGCGGACAGAAAAGGTTAGAGAAATCCAATGCCGCTCGAACGGCTGTCGGCGTCGAGCGCCTCGATCCATCCTACTGTTGCATTCCTATTGCGTGCCAGCAGAGTCGAAAGTGCTCTTTAACCGTTGTTTCCTTGAGCACTTGTCCCGAGCTTTTTCGGAGGCTGCATCAGCCTGGGCCGTGACCCTTACGGGCATGTCGTGACCTTTGACGAGCAGATTTCTCGTGTTTTACAAGCGATTTATGATTGGTTTAACTGCTCTCTCTTCGGCGATTTCCGGCATAGCCAAAATGCTGCTGGGGGCTAAATGTGAATGCGCATCAGCAGAGTTGACTGTTAGACAGGTTTTCAGTGAAAATAAATCAGTTCTACGTCATTTCTGCTGCGTTAAGTGCTGGCAAGCATTGCCCTGTACAAAACACACAGGCTGCGTTTTCCAGTAGCTGAAGGGATGTGCAGCACTTTTTCTCTGATAAGAAATGCCGCTACCGTAATTGCTTTTTACTATGGAATGTTACTATGGAGCTGCCACCTGCTGATAAAGACAGACTGACGCCACGTTCTTTTGAGTATGTGCAGTTAACTATTGAAAATATAGGAAAACATGGGGTTGGAGAATTTATTCTTAAAAATCAGAGGTCAAGGGGTCAAACTTAAAACTGTTAAATTCTAATTGTGAGCTGTCTACTACACCGTTGTGATCAAAACTGATAGTTGATATCGTCTTCTTTTTTGTTACATTGCAGTTCGAAAGTCGACGAAATTCGAGGTTTTCGCCGCCTGCCGACCGAACAGTGAGGGGACATGGTGCCAGGATTCGTGACATAATTCGTGACAGGAATGCACGAATGACTTTTTATCACCGTGACGTCACAACGTGTTGAGGTTAGCATTATATGCAAGCAAAAGATTTTTAGCAGAAAAAATCATCTGCATTAAGGTATGACGATGGCAAATCCACCAATGAGCATTGGGACAGGTTCAGAATGAGTTCCTTTTTGAGTGTCTGCATGCGCTAGAATTTTGTATTTCTCATTAGAAAGGATTATAACTGTTTGCAATTGTTAATTTTAGAAACTAGAATCTTTTCTGAATCCGACAGTGTAAACGGCTCGTCCAAGGTGCGTTGCTGAGGCGGCCCATGAATTTTCAAAGAAAGCCTACTTTTTGTGCAGATTCACATTGTAAATTGGCCATTTCTAGTGGGTGCTGTCAAAAGTTTATTTACAAAAGAAATTATGGAAGAATTTTTTTGTTAATAACATATATAGTGTCACTTGCGACTTGGATTCAGAGGATAGCATTATTTGTAAAAAAACTTCCGCTAATTTATGGGAATTTTTTCGTAAGTATGGCCGCCTATGGGAAAGCATTTCCCAATGTGGTACCTAATGTGTTCAGAGATTGTGTTTTCGTGTACTCGACCGGGTATCCGACCTACGCTTGGAATCCGGTGGTCCGGATTCCTCCAGATCTGGATTTTTTCCAAATCCGGATTTGTCCAGATCCGGATTTCTCCAGATTCGGATTCCTCCAGATCCGGATTTCTCTGGATTCCTCCAGATCTGGATGGCTTCTCCACAACCGCATCGCAAGTTGTATACAGCGGGTTGGTTCCTCTTGTTTGTCGTGGCCTCGGGAATCAACATAAATTTAGACCACTTGCGAATTCTAGAACGCAGCCGAGTATTTTCCATTTGATGTGGCAGCCGCCACTGCCAGAACTACTTCACTTGCGGTATACGACCTGTATCTAATCAAACTATCAAACTACCAACCTTGATTTTCAATTTTGTCTAAAACGAAAATCAATGTTTACAGCCTATACGTTCAATATAGGTGCGTGTGCGTGTGCGTGTGCGTGTGTGTTTGTGTCCATGTGTTTGTGCCCATACTTTTTTGTGGTGGGATTGCTTTTCGATGCAGTATCACCCAGTGCTGTCACTTGGTCCTATTTAAAATTCCTAAACAGTTTGGCTGCAATTAATTGAAATTAATAAAAACTTCTTAAAATCATTTATATCCCATACTACATTTTTCCTACATGTGTAAACGTTTATAATTTATTTTGTTTTTAGAAAATGTTGTCTGTAGGTATGGCAAGATACCTGGAGCATAGTGGAAAATAAACCGAGCAACTCACATGCACGCAACAACATGAATATGTTTCGTATAGTTTTGACAAATAGTTAGAAGGCTTCTGCGTATTATCAACGTGCAACATCATCGCGCCATCTATCAGGAGAAATATTTAAGAACGCTCATTGTCACTGTGGGTGTTTACGTTCCAGCCATCTCGGCGGCAGATATCTTCTGGATAGGAAGGAGGGGGAGGGGAGGGAGAGGAGGAGGAGNATCTGAACCTATATATCCGGATTAAATGTGCACTTAGGAACTTATTTTTGTAAAAATCTCATTTTTGTCCAGGTAGGCCATTTTCAGCATTGACATGTGTGCGTGCTCATTACTCAAAACAATGACTTGCGACTTAGTCCGTATTCTGCTGGAGCAGGTCACAAATCGGGCGACAAAATCGCCCGATAATATCAAAACGTTTTGATCTATGCGATGAAATCGGGCAACGAAATCAGGCGACTAAATCAGCGGCGATTGAGTGGACACACTAGGCGATTTCACGGCGATTTAGTCGCCCGATTTAATTGCCCGATTTAATCACCCGATTTAATCGCCTAGTGTGTCCGGCCCTTTAATGGTTCTCTACACTATTTCGCCTATAATCACCTGTAAATGCCTGTCAAATGCTCATCTGCAACACACAAGTACACCGCACGCCCGCCCTGCGGTGCTCAAACAACATGAATAAGAGAGCAGGTTGGAAAGCGTGATCGCAAAAATCGCTCGACGCTCGCTTCATTTCACACGATCACAGAACGAAAACACATCCAACAGCTCCCATCTCGGTATCTATGTGTACATAAATGTTCACTTGTTCGAATTATAACTCTGGCCTTTGTTCTTACCTACTCCCGCCAGAGATATCTCGTGAAATCCTGCAGGCAATGTTCTCTATGTGAAAATGTAGAGGACGAGATTTCTGTTTATACACGAGTATTGGGGCGCATTGCATGCCGGGATGAGCTGCTGCCGGCCTCCGAGCTCCGTTTCCAGGCCCGCCAAGCCAAGCACAATGCGCGCGGTCATGACGTCACACACACACGACTACAGCAATCGATCGAAAGTAGCGCCGTTAGGGATTTTCGGATCTTTACATTTTCACGGAGAGAACATTTCCTGCTGATAGCTCTGGCGGGAGTAGGTAAGAACAAAGGCCAGAGTTATAATTCGAACAAGTGAACATTTATGTACACATAGATACCAAGATGGGAGCTGTTGGATGTGTTTTCATTCTGTGATCGTGTGAAATGAAGCGAGTGTCGAGCGAATTTTAAGATCACGCTTTCCTACCTGCTCTTTTATTCATGTTGTTTGTGCGCCGCAGGGCGGGCGTGCGGTGTACTTGTGTGTTGCAGATAAGCATTTGACCGCCATTTTCAGGTGATTATAGGCGAAATAGAGTAGAGAAACATTAAAGGCCTCCTTTAGTGATGAAAAATAGTTACATATATCAAATTAAATATGTTTTGTACAACTACTAAGAAATTTACA